GGCGCCTGGGTTGGTTGTGCCCCCCCCCCCCAAATGTGAGAGCCTATGGCACACAGCTACGCCCTGGTCACCGCGTCATAAAGTGGTGGGAGCAATGGAGAATGGAAGAGTGAACTCAGAAACAGAGCCACAGCGTGGGGACCTTGAGGGCCTTGCTGAGCAAATCAAGCCTTCTCCTAGAGAAGAAAAGGAAGCCATTGAGCAGCTTTGTGCCATTCAAGGACATGGCCAAGGTGGTGTTTTAAATAGATCATCCAAGAGTGGATTTGAGATCAATGAGACTAAGAGCAAATGCAGTGCCTGCAATCAATGAGAAGACCTTGCACATGGTCAGCTGGAGAGGTTAGGACAGGACGACAGGAAAAGCGACCAGCAGGGCCTGGTGGCTGACTGGATATGGACGAGAGAGAAGGAAGCCATCAGATGAAAGCAGGTTTCTGGCCGAGCAGTGAGGTCGGAAGGCGAACCACAGTGACTGCCATAATGGAGGTCGAGAGGTAGAAGGACCGTGGGCTCGGCCACCTTGAAGGTGATTCTCCCACTACTTGGCTCCATGCAGGTTGAAAGCCAGCAGGAAAACAGGGTCCCCAGAGAGCAAAGTGGACCTTGGTGACCATTTGGCCTAATATTTTCTCTGGTGAGGAAACAAGAAAGTATTGATACCTCACACTCTGTTCCCACATGGAAACACCACATCTGACCAAGAATCTTATCTGTGGAAATCAGGCCACATACACTGCTTAAAATCCAGCCCAGCTCACTCTACCCTTCCAGAGGAAGGTCTGGCCATGCGGCGTGTTTTCCCATATCAGTGGTTTCTTCGGGTCTGAGCCAAGAGTTTGGTAGAAGGGGCTGAGGAAATGGACACGTGTCCCAAATCTGCCTTTGGATTTGCTGATGACTCCAGTGAACGTCTCCGAGATTGCCTTCTCTGTGTTCAAATATGGACCTTCGGAAGGGGAGCTGAGTAGCCCTGCAGACAGCTGGGCTCTGGATGAAAACACCGTCCTTTTTCTTTAGCATGAAGAGATATTAATAACAACCTATGAGACAATGAAGTCTGACTCCTCCTGCCCATGGCATTAGAAGGGCCTGGCCAGAGGGCCACACCCGCCCAGCCAGACCCATGTCCTCATGGTACGGCACGGGGAAACCATACCTTGGTCTTGAGAACGCTGGCCTGGGGGTTTTGGTGCATGAAAAGGCTCAGAAAGATCCCCACAAGGAATGGCCCGAATCGGCAATAGGGCTTGGTGTAATACTCTGAGAAATACAATGTGGCCACATTTTCACTGAAAAATACAAGGAAATAAAGCAGAAGGTTATGTTTGATCTGGGCCTTGAAAAGGGAATCTCTGAGATGCCCATTGGGATATTTGACAAGTTCAGCTTTGGGGTACATTGGTTCATTTCCTCAGTAATGACCCACAAGCAGCCATCTCATGATCCTGCCAAGGGTGCAGCTGGCTCATTCAAATTCCAGACTAACCTTGGGCTCCCCACCCTGGATCCTGAGAGACTGTGATGACCGAGTTCATGTTGTTTCTGATGGCCGATGTGTCAGGACAGTTCTAAAACGTGGCACGCAGAAGGGACCCCAGTACTGCCAAGGATAGAGACAGTTCTGAGAGAGAACTTCTGAGAGTCCAGACCAGGCTCTTTTTCTCTCTCTCTCCTTTCATTTATTTATTTTTGTAAGAGGTGTATTGCCTTAGGACACATGCGCTCTTGGGGGTGGGGTGGAGGAGACAGAGACAATGAGAAGGAAAGTGAGAAATCACCACCCAGGGCTGATGGCCACACCACAATTCCTTCCCTTTCATTCTCCTCCTGGGATCTTGGGCACACATGCACATGCACTCAGTGTGATTTTCAAGTCATGGAGTTCAGGACTTGAACCACAGTGGGCCATGTGGGAGTCCTGCGATGTAACCACTACGCCATCTGCTGGCCCCCAGACCAGGCTCTTGAGAAGAAACCAAAGAAGCTGTGGTTTCCAGGGTATGGCCCCTGATATCAACAGCAGCATCACCTAAGAACTTATGAGGAGCCCCAATTCGTGTGCCCGACCCCAGGCCTACAGAATTAGAGGCTCTGACAATGATCCAGCCAGCCATCTATTGTCACAAACCCTCCAGGTGACCTTGAGGAACACAGAAGTTTGAGAGGTGCTGCCCAAAGGGTGTCCTGCCACTAGACCCTCTTTGGGCAGTACCTCTGGAGGCAAAGGAAATGCCTGCAATGAACGGAATGCATTCCTAATGGAGGTGTCTGGGCTGTACTCAGATCCACTGAATCATTATCTCTGGGGGTGAGGCCAGGGAGTTGCATTTTTAAAGTTCTTCTGGGCCGTCAAAGGGTGGCCCAGACTGAGAACCCGTGCTTTAAATTGATTTCTGTTCTTCACTGAAGCTAAAAGTACTCTCCACTCTGAATCCCCTAGGCCCACAAGCAGTGATCTCATGATCCTTCCTTAACCAACCATGCACAATGGTTAGAGGAGGGAGAGGATCTTGAGGGCTACTGTGGGACCCTCGTCCCTGGCTACACACTTAGATGCCCTGGCCACCAGCCCACACCACAGAGGTTCTGAGTCTATCTTCCCACAAACGTTTTGAAATCTCCTTACATACCAGACACAGTTCTGAGTTCTTTTGCATTGGGAGGTCAGCACAGGCTGCCCCAAGAAGCTGACATTTGCATAGATACCTGAGGGAAGTGAAGGAGAAAGTCCTGCCAAGACTAGACCCTCAGGAAGAACGTTCTAGGCTGAGGGAAGAGCGAGCACAAAAACGCTGAGGGGATAGAGTGCTTGGGGCGTTGAGAGGAAAGGAAGCCACAGAGTCAGTAAGTAAGAGGTGAGTGATGAGGCCAGGTGACCACCGGAGGAACCTGAGCAGATGACTGACACGCTCTGGTTTTCATTTGGGTCACTCCGACCGCCAAATTGAGAGGAGGTCAGTTGTCAATGAGACCGGTTCTTCATGTGAAATATGGAGCAGACATCAGGAAGAATCGGAATACCTACCTTATGGAGAAGGCAAAAATAGCATTGTGGGTAAGATCCTAGGTTCAAATCACACCTATGCTACTTTCTAGTTCTGTGACTTTGAAAGCTAACCCCAACTTGTCTCAAGTTTCCATCCCTCCGCCTCACAATGGAGCTTCCAAGCTGCGACTGGCCGAGGATAAACAATACAGCCACGAGGGGGCGCTCCTGCCCTCCGAGAAGCATTTCACTGCGCAGTCGGTGAGCCCGGATCCCCAATGCAAACTGAAGGGTTCGGAAGTTTGGAAACAAAAATGCAATCGACTTTCCTAAGCAGGCCAAACGTTTCCCACCCCGTTTTTCCACAGGCCGAGGGCACTATACAAACAGCCTGACTCTCAGCAGCCCTCCCTGGGAGGTCTTGGCCCTTGTGAGGGCAGGGAAGGGACAGAGGGCAGGCTGCAGGGCCACTTTACCTGACTTCTGATGGAACTGCCACCGGAAGTTTATAAGCCAGTGTGAGCAGAGCAGAGGCAGCGGAAGACGCCAAGAGCAGCACGGCTCCGAGCAGGACGAGGACACGTCTATTTCTGCAAAGGAGAGAGCACACGGAGGGGAGCGCCTTGAGCTCCTTCACCACAGCATTTATGAGCAGAAAGGCTTGAAACCCTGACAGCTGCGGAAGCCCCCGCTGGCCCTGCTCTGAGACAGCTGATGGGGAGAGCTGGGCTGGGGCTGGAGTGCCCGAGAGCCTTCGGACTTGACCATTTACTGGCTGTGCTCCTAGGCAGAGCCTTGAACTCGAGTTTCCTCAACTAGAAGGGGATAGCAAAGCATCCTTGCCTGCCCCACCCTGAAGCGTACTGTGCCGCTGGAAATGAGACCATGTTTGCAGGTGTCCCTTGTCACTGGGAACACTATGCAGACGTAAGTGGCTGTTGATTTAGGAGAGTCATGAACAGTAAGAGGCAGGATGGACACGGGCGCCCACTCCAAGCCCAGGGGAGGGAAGACAGAGGAGAAAGGGACCTGACTGTCCCCTTTCCGCACATACCTGAAAGCAGAGTCTGAGACCAGTGTCTGGTGTAGGTAGCTCATGTGGGATTAGAAATGAGGAGTAGGAAAATGAACAGGGAAGCAGAGAAAGCCTCTAAGAGGAGGTGTTATCAAGATGGCCAATGCTCAATTCTAGAATGTTCTGCAGAGCCTTATGAAATATACCTTAAAATGGTCTGGGGGATTGAAGGAGGAAGCATTTTCCCACTGTCTTCTGTCCTCCTGAGTCAAAGGTGGTCCCACACAAATTAATTCCTCCACACTTTGGGATAGTACATATGAGACACTAGGAGGTCCCTGAAGGTGACTGCTGTGGTACTGAGGTCCTGGGGCAAGGAACCAGAGATTTGGGGTCATGGCTCAGAGGGAGGCGCTGCCTGGTTACACCTGGCCAAGATAGTGAGGGCTGGGACTGAGGATCTGCAGTGGTGTACGAGGAATGCTGAATGCTGGCACAAAATTACCCAGGCACAGCCCCGCCTGGGTGATGCCTTTGACAGTCCTGGGCAATGCTTGAAGTTACCATGGTTTCTCATGAGGGAGTGGGATGAAATTAACTATTCAAGTGTCACTGTAGTGGTAGAGAGAGCAAACAGTTTTCATCCAGAGTGCCAGTTCTAGCTTAATGTTTGGGGAAGAGGATGAACCCTAACTCCATGGGGCTGTGATTGATTGGTAATGTCTGCCATGAGAGAGGGTAGGGGACGGTATGAAAATAATACTGTATTTTATCATTACTTTTGCCAAGCCTTCTATATCTGTCCTTAAATGACTGGACTCTAGATTCTACTGGCATTCTATACATGTACACTCTGGAGAGAAAAGATTCTACCTTTTATACTCCCCTCCACATAGAAGCTAAATGTATTTGCATAGTCATGGTCTGGATAGTGTTGGCTTTTAGCTGAGGGATTGAACTCTACCTTCACGACAGCCTTTAGGAAAGATGGTGGCATTGGGGCCAAGGTTCCTTAGTCACAGGACACTCCTAGCCAGGCATACACTGGGAGGAAATGAGAACTAAGAACTCATTGTCCTAGGTGGGTGGTTAAGCCATCCAAGAAAAACCCACATTCACCCAAGTCAATATTTGTCCAACTTCCTGGGGGCGGGGGAGGGGGCTTGAGCTCAGTCCCTGGTACTCACTCGGTCAGACAAGTCTCCAAGCTAACCACCATTTTAACTCAACAAATAAAGCTTCCTGACATGGAGGGTTAGGAGCTGGATTGTGTCAAGGTCAAAGAACCTCAAGTGTATGAAAGTTCTAACCCTCAGTCCTGTAGAATGTAAATTTGGAGAAACTCTTTGAAGAAGAATCAGGGTTAAATGAGGTCATTGGGATGGGCCCTAATTCAATACCACTGGTGTCCTTATAAAAAGAGGAAATTTGGACACAAACACACACAGGAGACATGGAGGATACAAGGAGAAGACATCTATAAGTCAAGGAGAAAGGTCTCAGGAGAAACCAAGCCTGCTGATACCTTTTTTTTTTGGAGAGATTTTTCACTATAGGGCACGTGCGCTTGCCAGACAGACAGACAGAGACAGAGAGACAGACAGAGAGAGACAGAGAGACAGAAAGCGAGAAATCACCCTCCAGGGGGGATGGCCACGCCACAATCCCTTCTCCTCCGTTCTCCTCTTGGGATCTTGGGCACGCACGCACACGCGCCCGGTGTGAGTTTTAAGCCACCAGGTCCGGGACGCGAACTGCGGTCGACTACGTGGGAGTCCAGAAACATAGCTATTATGCTAACTGCTGGTTCCCGCCTGCTGATACCTTAATCTTGGCCTTCTGGTCTCTGGAACTGTAAAGAAATAAAGTGCTGTTTAAACCACTCAACCTGTGGCTCTTAGTTATGGCAGCCCCAATGCAGAATTACAGAAACATGACCAGACAGGAGGTATGAGGATCAGAAAGGACATAGGCCCCACCATATCTCCTGTTGGTCCTGGCTTTCCTGGGTCCAACTTGCTGATCAGGACCTCTGGCCACCGCACAGCCGGCAGGTGCTGGATGGCTCCCTGGCACCCTCAGACTAGCAGTGCTGCTTTCTAGCTCTGTGGGGCAACTGCTACCAGGACGATGGAACAGAGAAGGGGCCAGCGTCCACCATTGACCCCCAGCCCCGTTGTCTTGCCTGTTCGTCCCTCAGAAAGGCCCGTCCAGAGGCCATTGCCCAGCACGAGGAAGGAAGAGCAGAGAGCATTTCTCTCTGGCCTGAAGGTCCGGGCTGCCTCTATGAGTGCTGTCAGTCCCTGCAGCCTGGCCAGGACTGCCCCATGGGTTGCTCTTGCCCTTCCTCCCTGAGTACCTGGACCAGTGTGGGCATCAAACTCCAAGTGTCACCTCCAAGGAAGCCTGCTGAGCTTGCCTTTCCTCCCTGCCAGAACTGCAGGGCCTGCTGAGGCCTTGTCTGCCCACCTGTCTCTGCAGGCACTCACTGCAGAGCAAGGCCCTTTCCCCGGAGGTCCAGTTAGCCAAGGCTCAGCTGGACCTGGCTGCAACACCTCCCTGAGGGAGCTTCTGGGGTCTGACCGCCTTGCAGGTTGAGTGTCCTACCCCAAGGGAGCCCCGGAGGTCTGAGCACCACTTATCTCCTGCTCTGGGAGCTCCTGGCCTGGCAGCAGGAGGGACTGGGACCCAGGGGTGCATGGGGTCATCAGCTACCCTCTCTAGGGACCCCTTGGGGGTGATCACTCAAGGTCCCTAAGGCAGGGCTCTCTATTCCACCCTCCTTTCATGGTCCCCTGTTAGAGTGAGAGGAGGTCACTGTAATCCGAATTCCAGTGGCTCTCAGTGGATCTCCCCAGCAAGATGTGGGTGTAAGTCAGCGAGACTCGGCGTAGTCGGTCTTCCTACAGAGTACAGAGGACATTCTGAAATCTCTTTTATTAAAAAAAAAAAAAAAAAAAAAAAAAAAAAAAGCTTGAGTCCCAACCTAAGAAGAATGATTAAAGTTTTATAATCTCCCTTGTTCCTCATGTACTTTTATCAGTTCTATGTTGCTATCAGAAAGTGTACACCCTCTGAGAAAATCAGGTGTTAGATGGAGATGCTGTTGTTTCAGGGATGGGGTGGACTTGGCCTCACCTCTCAGCAGCACCGTATGTACAGGCCCCGCCCACCCAGCACCCAGACTCTCCCTCACAGTCTCTGCTTACTCCCCCCCATCAGAATGGACAGTGAGGGGAACCAGCAGTTAGCGTAATGGCTGTGTCGCTGGACTCCCACATAGTCGACCGCGGTTCGCGTCCCGGACCCGGTGGCTTAAAACTCACGCCGGGCGTGTGTGCGTGCGTGCCCAAGATCCCGAGAGGAGAATGGAGGAGAAGGGATTTCAGCGTGACCATCCCCCCTGGGGGGTGATTTCTCGCTTTCTGTCTCTATGTCTCTCTCTGTCTGTCTGGCGAGCACACATGACCTATAGCGGAAAAAACAAAAAACAAAAAACAAAAAAAAACACCTCTTAAAAAAAATAAATAAATAAAAAGGAGAATGGATAGTGAGTCAGCCTGAGATTTCAATGTCTGCCCTGCAAAGAATATGAACAGGTAACCATGAAATAGAGCGTGGTTGCGACCTAGCTCTGTCCCTACAGTCAGAAACTCACAAGTTAGACGTAAAGAAAATGAATTTTTTTTGCATAGCTAAATGACAAGATTTGCATTTTGTTTTGTTTTATTATTAATATTCCATATTGGCAATGGTTAAATGAGTTGGCCAGGAGGGTGGTGAGCCTGGCTGACCGGACCTCTGGGGAAGAGGCCTCACTCTTGTACCGACATTGTTGATACAACCTTTAAGGAAAGTAATTTATCATCATGATCCAAGATCCCAAAAGAGGTTCATGTCCTTTGACCCAGTAATTCCTCTTAAGGAAATGTGTTCTAGACAAACAGCAGAGTTGGAGATAAATGGTGTCACCGTGAAAATACTCACCAGACCATTATTCTTTAAAGTCATGAAGCTGGAAATAATCCAAGTATTTAACAATAGAAGAATACATAAATAAATTATAGTTTGTTCATGAAATGGAAGTTATGTTTACACTGAAAAAACACAAAGGGCCACCCTATGGCCTGGCAGTTGAGGTAGCTAGATCCCTCAAGGCTGGCTGTGCAGTTTCAGTCTCAGACCTAGTGGCTTGAGAAACATGCAGTGTGAACCCAGCAGGTGGCATGGTGGTCAAAGACGCTGGACTCCCACATGGCGGACCCCTGCTCATGTCCCAAACCTGGTAGCTTTCTCACTTTCTCTCTCTCTCTGTCATTATCAGTGAGCACGCGTGCCCTAAAACAAAATCTAAAAAAATAATAATAATAAAATAATTTTTTTGAAGAAAAGCATGCAATGCACCTATATGTACATACTCAAAATCCCGATGGGAAGGAGATGGAAGAGAAGAGATTGTAGCACGCCCATGACCCATGGGGGCATGGAGGGGTGCTTTCTCACTTTCCCTCTCTGTCTCTCTCTCTCTCTCTATGTGTCTCTCTCTTTGTCTCTCTGTCTCTGGCAAATGCATGTGCCCTCAGCAAGTTAAAAAGTAACAATAATGTTAATAATGTAGAGAAAAGCACTTTTTATAAAACTAATAAAAGAAAGATACTAAGGTATACATGCAAAATGCTTTCGTGCATCAAAAGCTGGGCAGGGGGAACCAGCAGTTAGGGTAATGGCTATGTCGCTGGACTTCCACGTAGTTGACCGCGGTTCACATCCCGGACCTGGTGGCTTAAAACTCACGCCGGGCGCGTGTGTGTGCATGCCCAAGATCCCTAGAGGAGAATGGAGGAGAAGGAATTGTGGCGTGACCATCCCCCCTGGGGGGTGATTTCTCGCTTTCTGTCTCTATGTCTCTCTCTGTCTGTCTGGCAAGCGCACGCGCTCTATAGTGAAAACCTCTCAAAAAAAAAAAAAGCTGGGCAGGAAAAATAACAAAAAGATATGTACTGAAATATTAATAATGGCAAGATGGGATCTTGGGCACGCATGCACATGTGCCCGGCGTGAGTTTTAAGCCACCGCGTCTGGGACTCGAACCGTGGTCGACTACGTGGGGGTCCAGTGACATAGCCATTACACTAACTGCTGGTCCCAATCCTCATAGTTTTCAATATTTCTTAAATTAAACACGTATTTTAACAAAAAAGTATAATAAGGTTTTTTTAAAAATATAGCATGGAGAACCCACAAATGATAAATCTCCCCATGACTTACTGAGGCCCTAAAAGTGTTCCTAAATCTAACAAAAGTCGAGGTGGCAGGTAGGCAGCATGGGAAAGCAGGAACCCTGATAAATGACCGACGGTGCTGGAAATTACCTCACTCTTCCTAGAGCGCAATCTCTCCCTGTGTAACCAGCACCACAAAATTGTTCCTGCCCTTTGACGTAGTGATTCCACTTAGATAAGCCCCCAGGAAGTAACTAAGAGAAATGGTGCATTCAAAGACATTCATTGTGATGCCTTCTATAATCATGAAAAATTAGACACAGTCTGGAGGCCCAACCATATAAATGGTATTATCAGTTCTAACACTGACAGGTATACAGGGTATGTCAGTGTGTGGGAGTGTTTACAGCTAAATAGAAAAAGCTGAACACTCGGGACCAGCAGTTGTTGTAATGGCTATGTCGCTGGACTCCCACGTTAGTCGACCGCGGTTCGAGTCCTGGACCCGGTGGCTTAAACTCACACTGGGTGCGTGTGCGTGCGTGCCCAAGCTCCCGAGAGGAGAATGGAGGAGAAGGGATTGTGGCATGGCCCTCCCCCCGGGAGGTGATTTCTCGCTTTCTATCTCTCTGTCTCTCTCTGTCTATCTGGCGAGTGCGCGTGCCCTATAGCAAAAATCTCACTCAAAAAAAAAGAAAAAGCTGAACACTATTACTACATACAAATTGATTATAATTCTACAAAATCACATACTAACTGTACAGCAAAGATTGGAAGAGAACATCGAAGAAGGCAGGCAGTAGATGATTCAGTGTTGGGACCAGCAGGTGGTACAGTGGTTAAGGTGCTGGACTCCCACATGGCTGGCCACGGTTTGAGTCCCAGACCTGGTGGCTTGCTTTCTCACTTCCCCTTTCTCTGTCTCTCTCTGATCAAATTAAAAACTAAATAATAGGAGCAAGCAGATGGCGTGGTGGTTAAGGCGTTGTACTCCTACATGACCAACTGTGGTTCAAGTCCTGGACCTGGCAGCTTGCTTTCTCACACTCTCTCTCTTTCTTTATTTCTTTGTCTCCCTCTGGTCAAATTAAAAGACAAATAATAACAAGTAAAATTAATAAATAATTCATTTAAAAAAAGAAGATTCAGTGTTTACTTTTCTGAAAAGTTAATTTCCTAAATTTAGAAAGTTCTGAGAGCCAGCAGGTGGAGTAGTGGTAAAGGCACTGGACTCCCATATGGCTGACGCCCTCCCCCCGGGAGGTGATTTCTCGCTTTCTATCTCTCTGTCTCTCTCTGTCTATCTGGCGAGTGCGCGTGCCCTATAGCAAAAATCTCACTCAAAAAAAAAGAAAAAGCTGAACACTATTACTACATACAAATTGATTATAATTCTACAAAATCACATACTAACTGTACAGCAAAGATTGGAAGAGAACATCGAAGAAGGCAGGCAGTAGATGATTCAGTGTTGGGACCAGCAGGTGGTACAGTGGTTAAGGTGCTGGACTCCCACATGGCTGGCCACGGTTTGAGTCCCAGACCTGGTGGCTTGCTTTCTCACTTCCCCTTTCTCTGTCTCTCTCTGATCAAATTAAAAACTAAATAATAGGAGCAAGCAGATGGCGTGGTGGTTAAGGCGTTGTACTCCTACATGACCAACTGTGGTTCAAGTCCTGGACCTGGCAGCTTGCTTTCTCACACTCTCTCTCTTTCTTTATTTCTTTGTCTCCCTCTGGTCAAATTAAAAGACAAATAATAACAAGTAAAATTAATAAATAATTCATTTAAAAAAAGAAGATTCAGTGTTTACTTTTCTGAAAAGTTAATTTCCTAAATTTAGAAAGTTCTGAGAGCCAGCAGGTGGAGTAGTGGTAAAGGAACTGGACTCCCATATGGCTGACAGAGGTTTGAGTCCCAGACCTGGCAGCTTGTTTTCTCACTTTCTCTCTCTTTCTCTCTCTCTCTCATGAATGCATGTGCTCTATAGCAAATTTTAAAATAATAATAATAAATAAAATTAAATAAATAATTTTTAAAATAAAGCTTAAATAAAGAAAGAAAAAACTGTGTTCTGCACCAAGCCAAAGAACTTTCTAAGAATTTTATGAAAGAGGCCACATGCCCTTGTCCCAGTTAGACTCACTTGCCGTGGATGAAGACAATGGCCGGTGCCGTGAGATGGAACTGGAAGTCATTGGCCAGGTACCACGTCCAGCCGTTGCACTGGAAAGAGAGCAGCGGCGTTACTTCATTCCTTCCAGACAGGTCTGCTCCCCCGTCTCTCCTGCTGGCTAGGAGGCAGAATTTAGTAGGAGCAGAGGGAGGAAGGAAATTGAAGAGATCCTCCCGATCCCTCATCGCACCAGTCTTTGTAATTAGCCTGTAATAGGTATTATTACCCTAGTGGGTACAAAAGGGAGATTCAGACCAATTTCCTCTCTCTCTCTCTTTTTTTAGAGCAATGCTAGTTCATTCTAGAGCAATTGTGGGGGCTGAACTCTATCATGTTGCAGGATGTAATAGGTCATGGTCGTTATGGGGCAGTGAGAGCTCGGAGGGGTGGCATTGCTCTTCCTTGCCAACACCAGGTGGAGCGGACATGTTCCCTCAGAACCAAGCCCTGGTTCAGATGAGCTTTGTGAATTCTCGGGCATGACTGCCATGGGGGTGCCTGGCCAAAGCCACATCGGTCCATAGCCCATCCATGCTTGAGCAAAAGAAGCCGTTTCCTATACGTGAAAACATTCCCGGAGGCTATTCTCTCTGTTCATGGGCTCCTTGGATCCACGTGAGCCTAGACACATGCAACAGGAGGTGCAGCTCTGCCTGCAGGTAGAGAGGTTCTCACAGTGGGAAGAAGCTGTGAGAGGGTCCAGGCTGGAGGGCCCTGTTTTCAAGGAGGGCTTTACCTCAGAGAGGCCACTGGCTTGTGTCTTTGCCACTGATTCCCACAAATGCCCAAGATTGTCTGCATCTAGGAGAACAGTTCCAATTTCCCCTGTGGGTCCCGGTCTACACAGGCTCTCTGAGGGTGCATCCCACCTGGAGGCAGCGAACCAGGACTGCACCCTGCTGGTGCTGCCGGCATCTGAGAACGGAAGGCGGCTGTCCAGTTGGTAAGTGGGCACCTGTGATATTTAGAGACCACCGTGTTTTAGGGATTGTCTTTTCAGCTTGCTTTCGAGGCATGTGCAGAACCAGAGGCATGACTTAATCACAGTTATTTCCCTTCCATTGGCTCCAAGTTCATTATGAGGAGATTGGAGCCTTGGGGAAGCCACGACATTATATGTCAACTCTGTGAGGTCTGGCTTGAATTTGAGCAGGGTTCAACACAGTGACTGTGTGGTGCGACGTTCCAGTTCTCCCACAGGCCTTCCATGCACAGGTGGAGAAACTGTCCTTTCCCCCTGGGGTGACATGGACAGGCACAGGGACTATAATGCACTGAGATGCTTGTCCCCCCTGGTCCCTGCTGGGCTCCCCTCTTTGCTCTTCCCAGCCCCTGGCCCTGCATAGACTGGTGGGATTCCCCCTACCCCATGACAAGGGGCTGGTCTCCCACCCACAACCATCTTACTAGATCACTGTTACTCCAGAGAATGCACCAGAAGAAAGTGGAGTGGACTCTGGTCGGCCCTTGGAGAGTTCAGCAAACCACACGAAGTGAGACGCTGCATTGGCCTTCGTCTGCCGTCTGCCCCCTCGGTGCCCCAAGCTAGGGACTCACCGCATTCCGAACCGATGCGAAGTCATTCAGCAGCAGCAGGTTTGTCCACCAGGCCTGCCGGCAGTTAGCCCAGTGGAATTCGGGCACTTCCCACACAGGTCCCCAGGGCACGAGAGGGAACAACCCCACCACCAAGCACACCGAGTACAAGTGAAGAGGTTGCAGCCTGGCGGGAGAGAACCAGGACAGAAAGTGACCCTTCTGAAAGGGCAGAGGTCCACTCAGTCCCTAAGTGGGTGCCTGACCTCGGGGCAAAGAGGCTCTCCAACAGAGTGCAGGGGTGGCCCACTGCCAGCCCTGCCTACCCCTCCTCACACACGCATGCAGTCATGGGTTCGAGGTCGTCTCCTCAGCACCCATCGTGTGCTGGCTCGGGTGCTGCGGCTCCACGACTACTGCTACTTACTGAGCAAGTCATGGATGTCAGCCACTACGCTAAGAGCTTTGTAGATGTGTCTAGACCTCGAAACCATCCTGTCACGTAGCCATCACCTCCGTCATGCTGCTGAGGAAATTTTAGCTGTGAGGAGTCCGGGTGTCCTGCCCAAGGTGGTTGCCCAAGCACACAGCCGCGCTGAGACCTGGCCCCAGTTCGTGTTCATTGCACAGGCCTCACTCAATGGAAACGCTTTCCTCCCTCTCTCGCCTCTCCCCCTCCCTTACCTCATTCCTCCCTTCCCCCCTTCAGGCCCTCCCTCCTTCCAAACAGGATGTAAGCAGTTGCCAAGACGGTAAATAAGACACGAGAGTGTTCAATGGAGGAGAAGGAGAACCACGTCTTCCGCCTGTTTCATACTTTCCAGGAGCCACATTTTGAAAAGTAAAAAGGAACAGGTACAGGTATAACGAAGCTTTTTTATTTTTATTTTTATTTTATTTATTCTATTTTATTTTTTTATGTAGGCTATGTGCACTCCCTGGAGAGAGACAAAGAGAGGGAAAGTGACGAATCACCCCCAGGGACGATGGCCATGCCACAATCCTTCTCCTCTCAGGATTTTGGACATGCGCACACACATGCCCGGAGTAAGAGTTGAGCCATTGGGTCCAGGACTCAAACTGCGGTCAACCATGTGGGAGTCTAGTGCCTTAACCACCACCCGCTGGCCCCAGGTACAATGAAGTTTAACACCATTTATTTAACCCAATATATCCAAAACATTAGAATTTCAAACATGTCACCAATATTTCAAAAAAGAACGAGTTAGCTTCTATTCTGTATTCTTTTCCCAAGTCATCAGTGCCCCGGGTGTTCTTTGCATACCCGGCACATCTCAGCGGGCCACTATGCCTGGGAGGCTGCTCATTGGGTGGTGCAGATCTAGAGTTTAGAGGTGAGTTTGCAGCAGGGAGGCATATCCAATTTTGGCCTGGATTCTGGGGTCAGGGCATTCTTTTCAAGGAATGAATCTTGGAATTCAGAGTAGGTTTCACTCAACTAGGGCAGAAGAAGCTGCCCAGCAGCACCTCAGACATCTGGGACTGGGGGTGGCAGATGGGAACCAGCAGGACTTGGAGTGTCTCCACCCAGACTCAGGGCCGTGTACCAGCGCCAAGCCTCAGGTCTGCACAGGGACCTAGACCCGCTGGCCCTCCTGCCCTCCCCACAATGATGGCCTCCTCCAGAGTTTCCAGTGGGTGGGAGGGCAATGGGGCTTGAGAGGAGAAAAGATGGAACTGTTGATCAATGTCAGAAAGAAAAAGCAGGTGACTGTCTCAGGATGCGACCTCCCAGGCCTCCCTGGGTCCTGGGTCCTGCCACGTTAGCTGACAGCTCTTCCCATAGGCCTCTGCCTCTACCCCCTGGGCCACCTTTCTCACCGTCTGTCACCTACTTTCCCCGAGGAGAGTAAGTCAGCCCCAGCTCAGCTCCCCTGACAGGCAGCACTGCAGTCAGCGCCCCCAGGAGGGAGCACCGGCAGCATCTCCACCCCTTACCACCCTCTCCCTTGGGGAATTGTTCAATGTAGGCTCTGGGTCTGGGGCCTCTGGTGGTTTTCTTTTCTCCTGTGTCTTTGACTGTCTCATTGCATCACTGCCACTCTGTCATCACCATTCTGGGTTCTGCCCCTGGACAGTAATCCCTTCTGCGTCTACTAACCACACCTTCCCACAGGAGACCCTCCACCTCCGTGCAGAAGGACCACGGTCTCAAGTTTCACCACCTCCTCTCTTGTCATGCTTTATCTTATTTTTATCATGACCATTAGTACTCCGACTTACAGGATCCAAATTACTACTTGTTTGCAGGCATACCAACCCTCCTGTGGAATGCAGGGTCCGTGGAAACCTGACAATGTGTTTATTGCCACCTGCTGCCCATCTATGTTTACTGCCCAGCATGTTTATTGCCCTGCTGAGGAAAAGCGATGTTTTTGCCAGTAGAAGATACCAAATTCCATGTATTTGTCCAACCAGAATTTGAACCACCAAAAAACTCAACTATATTTAAGGATGAAAACTATTTCTTCTGGTTTATTTTTCTATGTAGAAACAACTGCTATTTATTCAAAAGAGGTTTAAACACTGAAAAATAATAAATTATTTCATAGAAATAATGAATTGAGGTACCAGCAGATGGCATAATAGTTAAATCACTTGACTCCCATGCAGTTGACCGTGGTTTGAGTCCCGGATCCGGTGACACTCTGGGTGCATGTGCATGCATGCCAAAGATCCCAAGAGGAGAATAGAGGAGACGGTATTGCATCATGGCCATCCTCCCTGGGGAATGATTTCTCACTTTCTGTCTGTCTTCTCTGTCTCTCTGGCAAACACGCGCACTCTATAGCAAAAATCTCTCTTAAAAAAAAAAAGGGAGGGGAACCAGCAGTTGACGAAATGGCTATGTCGCCGGACTTTCATGTAGTCGCCCACTGTTCGAGTCCCAGACCCGGCGGCTTAAACTCATGCTGGGCATGTGTGCGTGCATGCCCAAGATCCAGAGAGGAGAATGGAGGAGAAGGGATTGCTGTGTGGCCATCCCCCTGGGGGGTGATTTCTCACTTCCTGTCTCTCTCTGTCTTTCTGGGGAGCGCACACGCCCTATAGCAAAAATCTCTCCAAAAAAAAAAAAAATAGTAAAGGAAAGGAAGAATGAATTGACAAATTTGAAATTTAAAAACTTACCTTATAAGGCGATTGAAAAAGTATCTGAGTATATTCTTAGAGGTTATTCCTTTGTCCGAATTCTGTTGGATCTTTAAAAATGACCTTGCACTTAGCCAGCCACTAAGAGAAAATGGAGAATAGTTACAGGAATTACTTTTCGGTAATACAGTTCACTAGCTGATTACTTTGATGGGCTCAGTCAAGGTAGAGTAAGTTATACTGCAGTGACAAAGAACCTCCATGTCTTAAAACAGCAATGGTTTCTACATGGTATCCACAGTCGCTCTCCAGGTCATGTCTTTGACTGAACCAATATACAGTGTATTCATGACAGGAAATTTCATTTGGTATACTGTATGATATGCAGTGATTTCATGTAAAAAAAAAGATAAAAGAAAGAAAAAATAAGAGAAAAGACAACAGGATTTTTTCTTGTTCATACTACGTACTCATGGTCAGTTGCTCAAGGCTCAGTATCTTCATTTCTATGGTCCTGGGCTGATGGGGCACCTGCTATCTGAAAGTTCACTAGTAACCACAGAGGAGAACAAGAGAGTTCTAGAGGATCTGAAACCCTCATGTGCTCTAGGCTGAAGGCAACATATTTAAAGCCCAAGAGTTTAAAGCACTTATAATGGCAACCCCAAGTACCACTTGTTGGTCAGAACTTGTCAGGTCACCCACCCAACCACAATAGGACCATCTGGGTCACAAAGAAAGTGGAATGTTACCAAGTGCCTGGAGGTGGAGAGCCAGATGGATTTGTTGAAAAATGCTAATGACTACCATGTTGGTCTTTTAAACTATAATAATAACACCCAAGCCTTCCATCTCCACAGCGCCACATGTTTCAAAGCACTCTCACTAATACGCTGCTTTTGCTTCTCCTACCATACCAAACTACTTTGCAATAAATGTTTGTCGATTAAATGGTAGAAGAGATGAATAAATGGCCCTCTTGGGTAAAAGGAAAGATATTATCATTCCTGTTTTCCAATAGAGACTTAGAGACTGTGAGGTGGGTTGTCCAAGGTCACAGTTAGGATTCTTAACTAACATATCCTGATGATAAATCCATTGCCCAGAATGTTGAGCTAAGGAAACCAAGGTGACGCCTTCTGGTTATGACTTGATAGTAAGCAAGTTCGCAAGAGTTGCCCAACCTTTCGATATTTGTAACAGTCATCCTTGTGAGTTTTTCCCTAAGGAAAAAAATGTATTTCCTATTGCAAAACAAGGCTGTGCATGTTGCGTGGGACCTGGAAGGGATCCCAGAGGGTTGGAGAATGTCTTTATTCTATGCCTGCTAGATTTTCCTTTGAAAATGGCAAGTTAGATTCATTATAATACAAGCAAAATTTATAGAGACATTGAAAAGAGAGTGCTGAGTGGTGGAAGGAGGGCAGCCAATTCCAATTCTTGCCTCCTCTTCATTTAAGAGAGAATGAATCATGACAACCTTTTCTTTTCAGAGTGACTGGCAACTTCCTGCCAGTGTGGTTGCTAAGCAAAACCCAGGTCTCACTCTGTGTGTGTGTTCACTGCCCAGCCTCCAAGTTCATAAAGAGAGAGCAACAAGGAAGGCTCGAGGAAAACAGAGTCTGAGCAAGGCCTTAATCATCAGGTGCTAGGACCCAGACAGCTGAACAGACTGGAAAAGAGGAAACCATGCAGTCGTGATGTGTGAAGCCAACCTGAGAGGTAGGGAAGGATTCCAAAACGGACACCAACTAGGTATTCTCAAAGATCATCCAAAGTCTGGTTTTACTGTAAACATCAGTGGCACTGTGGTTACAACACAGTTTTAGCATGAAACAAACTATACTTAAATTTTGATTCTAACCTTACTAGCTGTGCAGACTTAGGTAAATTACTGTATCTCTAAATCAAATTTTCCATGTGTAAAAATGGGGATGAGACTTTTATATCAAGTTTATAGGAGTATCGTGAGAATGATGAAATATTTTATTGGGATAAAACATTTCATGCTCTTAGCATAATGTCAGTACTATGTACCACTATTAGTAATGGTTCCATTGTTCAAAAGGAAATTTTTAATGAAATAATACATGTATATCCTAAATAACAAAATTAAAACCAAAGAAAAAAAAAAGACAGTCGTGAGAACTGGCAATGAGAAACGGGTAGTAAGGATAAAGAAAACGTAAAAGGACTTGGTTGTGGAACAATGTGCCACACCAGAATAAAGAAGGTCCCTGACCAGCCAGCTGGCGCATGGCCAAGGCAGCTGGATCCCACGTGGCTGACTGCATGGTTCAAGTCCTAGACCCAGCAGCCTGAAGAGCAGGCCGGGTGCATGTCCATACGTGCCCAAAATTCCAAGAGGAGAATGAAGGAGGAGGAGAAGGAATTGCAGCTGGCCAACCCCCTGGCGGGGTGATTTCTCTCTCTTTTTCTCTCTCTCTCTGTCTCTTTCCAGTAAGCACACATACTCCCTGGCAAAAAAAAAAAAAAAGAAAAAGAAAAGAAAAGAAAGAAAGAAAGAAAAGTCATTGCCAATCTACTATTTACGTCCAAAAAAAAAAAAAAAACAAATATTGAATGTACACAACATAACATTCAATGTTGAAGATGCTGAATATGCTTATATCCTTGATCTGACTATTACACTGAAATACATGCTCTAAAAACCATACTGTACCCCACAAAAATGTCCTAAGACTATATGTACATCAGAAATTATCATTTTAAAAAAGGAAATGTACTTCTTCATTTGTGAATATCAAGATCCGTGAGTTCTTCTGTCACCCTCAACTCTTTCAGCCCCACCTCACATAGCATTTCCCAGACTTTAGTGGGCCTCAGGATCACCTGGAAGGCTGTGACAGCTCAGACTCCTGGCCCCACCCCACGGAGTCTGATTGACTGGGCCTAGGGTGAGGCTGAAGAATTTGCATTTCCATCAAGCTTCCAGGTGATGCTCAAGTAACTGCCCTGACCCATACTGGAGAACCACTGTGTGAGACTCTGCACTCCAGCCCCAGACCAGCCCAGGTATGACATGTGGCCTTTGAGTATTTGTAGTTTTATTGGACATTTGAAATTTGAATAGCCTTAGAATGTGTTTGGATATCTCAGGGCAGACAACAGGTTCTCTTCTATCTCAGATTCCACTGATGGCCAAGGGATGGCCAGTGGCCTTTCATGCTCTCTTCCTTCCTTCCTAGTGGCAGCTTTCCTGTTCTCCAGATTAAATTTTGGCTTTGTTCCCAGCCATTCTGATCTCTTTGCCAGCCTCCCTCACAGGGCCTGGAACTCTGTCAATCTATCCCACCCCAGCATATGGTGTCTTTTTTGCATGTTCTTACTTACCAGTGTTGCAAAGAACAGAGCTCTGCTCTTTTACTGAGGCTCTGTGGGCAGTCCTTACACCCTCCAAGGACCACCCCAGGTCTCCTGTTTCGTCTGCCTAGGGAGACTCAGTTAAACCCTGATGGAAAGCCAAGTGCTCAGTGTTCACATGACTTGTGGGTTTGCTGCAGATATTAGGCTCTGCCCTGCTTGCCTAAAATATTCTCTGTTGTCACCTTGGTCAACCCCCAGCATGAGCTGCTGCCCTAATGGCCAGGTCTCAGGTTATTCCCCCCAACTTTCTCTGTATTACCTCAAAAAGCTATTGCACAAGACTCTTAGGATGACACAAAGAATAAATCATTCACTTTAACAATTTATTGAGTGGAACTCTAGGGCTAGCACTGCTTTAGGCCCTGATAGCTCAACAACACACAACACAGAAAAGTTTTGCCTTAGATCCCAGTGGAGACAAATAGACAATAGATCAATTGATCAATCAAAAGTAGCATCTATACTATGTTTAAAAAAATTAATAAATTAGGAAATATGAAGACAAAATAATGGGTAGGTTAATTTAAAATATGGGTACAAAGAAGGCTTGGTTAGCTGATCACCAACGTCCCCTGCCCTGCCTGGACAGTGGGAGGAAGGGCTACCCTGGCCTTCATTAACCACTACTCTGGTTCCTGTAGTCCCAGATTAAGAAGGTAGGAATTGCCACCCAGCCTGTTCTGATGCCACCTTACCCACCACCTACCCAGGAGTAAAAGGGAAACAGGCCACCCTCCCTGAGCTGACTACCAACGCCCCCATCCCAGCCTGGAGTGTAGGAAGAGGAGCTTCCCTGGCCTTCATCAATCACCATCCCAGTTCCTGCAGTCTCAGAGTAAGAAGCTCAGCTCCCAGTCACAATGGGACCAGAGAGACTTAGGTATACAGGAACCAAATCTAGAGACAGTGAAGCTCTAGAGGAATTATCTCCCTGCAACTCCTACCCTCCACAAGCAGAAAAAGGGGAGAAACTCTTCTGTGAATTCTGTAGCCAAAACTCCCACTGTGGATACCACACTCCCACCCACAGTAAAAGAAAATCTTCACAGAGCTAACACACACCATAGGGAAGTGCATGAGCACACAACTACAGAAATAAGCTCCAAAGAAGTAGGAGGAAGTGAATCTATCACCAGATGACTAAAAATCCAAAACAGAACTCCAAGAAATATGAAAAAAAACAGGAAATACCTCCCCTCCCAAAACAACACAGTAACTCCTCACAAAAATGGATAAAACACAAGAGAGCACAGAAATATCTGAAAAATAATTCATAATATTCATCATAGCAAAACTCAGTGAGATGCAAGAGAAAACAGACAACCAGTTCTACAAGATGAGAAAAATCTTTCCACAACTTGAAGGAGAAACTCCATAAAGAGATATATATCCATGGGACCAGCAGTTGGCGTAATGGCTATGTCACTGGACGCCCATGTAGCCATCTGTGGTTCAAGTCCTGGATCCGGTGATTTAAACTCACGCCAGGCGTGTGGGCATGTGTGACCAAGATCCTGAGAGGAGAATGGAAGAGAAAGGATTGTAGCGTGACCATCCCCCTTGAGGGGGTGATTTCTCGCTTTCTGTCTCTCTGTCTCTCTGTCTTTCTGGTGAGTGCATGTGCCCTATAGCAAAAAAATCTAAAAAAAAAAATTTTAAAAAGAGAGATATACATCCTGTAAAAGAATAAAACAGAACTTCTGAAGATAAAGAATACAGTGTAGAAAATCAAAACCTCCCTCAAAAGTGTTATG